CCGGGGCCTGGCCTCGGGGAAGCTGGGCCGCTGCAGCGCTGGACCGAGAGAGATGTGGGCCTTAGCGCAGGTGAAGGGATTCCGGCACTTCTCATAAACCCTGCCTGCTTGAATTTGCATGGAGGAAAGCTGTTTTGCCTCAAATTCGGTCGGACTTTATCAGGCAGTGAGAGTACTATGTACTTTATGTGAAGCTTTTGAGCCTCAGGAGCAAAACTGAAGGATCACGGTGAATGCTCCTATTGGTTCTTAGAACAAAGTTTTTTTTTGTTGGATGGTCCAGACCATCTCATCAGCAAGAAAATGGTAATCATTTGAACAGATATCAGCGTGAAGTTGATTCCGCTTGCGGATTAAAAAACCCCAAGCCTCTTAAACCGTCTTCAAGAGTATATTGGAGGGTGGTGAAGCGTGACTGGAAAGTCCAGTAAGACTGGCTCCAGATTTGACATTTGCTTTCACTACTGTATTGACTTAAAACTCAAAATGGAAGATTATGCTTTAAGCATGAGCTTAAGATTATTTACTTAAGCTCATGACATTAAGCCTGATGCCAAAAGATGTATGTATTTTTCATCTATTAGTAGCTCTATAAACTATTATGCTTATATAATTTATTAGCTAACTTCAGTACTTCTCCTACCCTGTTAGGTTAGACAAAGACATTCCTGGAATCCTACTATGATCTTGCTTCTTCAGTGAACTCAGGACATTTCACTTTCCCACGTATTTAGGGATAAGCAGCGTGGGGCTAGAAGCAAGGGGGAGGCTCCAGTAGGGGGTCAAACCAAGAGGGAATTTACTTCATTTACTGTCCTTCTAATTGGGGATTCTTGTCAATTATGCTGATTTGCTAAAGTTAGAAAAGTGCTGAAGCCCTACATCATGTGTGTGCTCCACCATAAGTGCACCTGGAGCACTGTCATTAATGGTAACTGCTTTTCATCATTTCTAACTTGCTTGGCTTGTGATTTTATGTCTGATAAGGTGTCAAACCCACTAATACCTCTTCCTCTTTTGTGCCTTTGCAGGGGAAGAAGTTTAGCTTTGGGAAGATTCTCTTCAGCAACACCACCATTTTCCTGAGATGTAAGTGGTTACAAGGAATTAACCTGCTCTCTCTGCTTTTTGATGCCCCTCCTGTTTTTAACATTTGGAACTCAAAACACTGTGAAGTGTTTAACTGCACTGGCCCCAGAGATAGCTAATCTAGCACTGCATGAAAGCCACAGCTCTGATATGGTTGAGTCTGTTAACAGCCTTGGAGCTTCCCAGTTGTGATCTGCTTAGGTTGTAGCAGAAATGAATGGCTCTATTCATGCTCTTTGTGGAGAGGGCAAGATGGGCAATGGGAGCACCACTTGGTTTCATATGGTGGGTAACCATGTATGGGGTGTGCTGCACTGTGCTGTGAGATGTGCTTTTCCTATCTAAGATTGTTAAATGTCTGAGAGATCTGGTGCCAGCTGGACAGGGGCTGTTTGTATGCTGATGAGAATACAGAAGGCAATGTTTTTTGAGGCCTTGTTCCTTATTAGCTGAGTGCTTCTGGGTGTTGTAAGGGAATGTTGCACACTGCAGCAGAGCTCTCCTGAGAGGTGTTTTCTCCTGATCCCAGTGCGTGATTGGGATCATCGAGTTTGTTCTGTCGAGCAAACATGTTGGCAGCCTTCTGATTTCTTCTGTGTATTGCTCTTTGCTGATCTGGCCAGGTCTATGGGTTATGTAGGTTTCTGGTCCAAGGAAAGTTTCTGTGAAATACCCTCTTGCCTGTGAACATGAGGACAGCATCTAGATGGCAGTAAGATGTTATAGAAGTGACTAGTTGATTTAGAAAGGTGTGAAATCTTTTTTGAACACTTTAAGTGGTTGTTTGCACCAGTTTTTACCATTAGGGAAGGCTGTTTAGTCTCTGTACTTGTGGTTTTTCAGGTTTAATTTCCAATACATCCCCTTCTTGGGACAGTTTTTCAAGGAGAGTTTGTTGAAGTGCCTCTCTTGATCCCACATGAATCTGAAACAGGAGGGTAGAATTTGAGTGGTTATTAGAGAAGGTGCATCACTTCTGTGTTAGGGCTTTCCCACTTGACAAGTTAACTGACCCCCTGAGGTTTGCATCTTGCAGTGAGACAATTGCAAGTGTACAGCTGCAGGATCAAAATGAGAAATCTGCTGCTTGGGAAGAGGAGTGGGGGTTGAAAGGGTATTTTGGTGCTTTGGTAGGTTTTAGGCTTTCTTGTCTGAAGTTTAATATAAATAGTGTATTGTAGTGACATGGCATCTAAGATACAGGTCTCTGAAGTGATGTGTGTGGTAAATCTACTTGTGCCAAAAAAACAGAGGGATGGAGCTGAGGCATAGGAAAAAATGATTTGTTGTAGGGCAGATCTGTCAGTAAGAATTGGACCCCCTGCCTCCTGATGTGGAATTGAATTACACTGTACTTTTAACCTTTAAACAGGCATTAAGCCTTAAAATTCTTTAGTGAAGACACCTGTTTTACATATCGGTGTGATTAAAAGATTGACGTGAACTTGAAAAATGAAAGAGGAAGGAACAAAGGCTGGGAACTTATTTTTTCAGACTAGATGAAACTTAAACTGCATCTGATGCTGGGAAGCTTCAACTTTGTGATTTTTTTTTTTCTGCCCATGCTTGTGTGGAAACTATTCTCTTTTTGTTTCCTGTCTGTTGCCTCGATGTGTGATGTTTGTGAGGACAAAATGGCCGTTGTTGCCAAACATGATTGCTCATGGCCTGTTCATGGTTTTCCTGAGCACCTGCATCTCTTTTTCTCCTTTTTTTCCCCTCTTCTTGATTTTTGGTTTTTTTTTTTTTTAAAATCTGTATGGCACATTGGTGTCTGATGCTTTCTGCTTCTGTTTGGGAAGATTGCTGCTGGCATGCAGTGTTGTCAATAATGAATTTATTTTTATCTAGTTTTTTGAAGTGTTGTTCTAGAAGGCATTTAATTTCTTGTATAGGATCATGATAGAAATCCTGTTCTCTGTAAATGAGTACAAAGACTGCATTCAAGCTGAATATTATTGGCTTTTGTTTGAAGGCTGAGGATTTTAAA